TGAGTGCAGGGAAGGCTGGTGTCAGGGTGCAATTCAGAGACTGCCGAGGTCAAATCTGGGGAACCTGGGACCTGTCTGATGAAGGAGCCTGAGTGTGTGCATGAGGCAAGGGAGGGAGCCAAGGGGTGCGGAGGAGGGTGTAGGGCAGTCTGTGAGCTGAGATGGGGAGCATGGAGGAGGTGTGGGTGGCCCTCTTCCTCCTGCCTTCCTTCGTCTTTGGCAGGGAGTTGGGGATGTTTGGGGAGGAGGATGAGGAGTGATGGTGATGAGGATGGTGGTAATGGTGATGGTGGTGAGGGTAGTAATGGTGGTGATGATGGTGATGGTGATGATGGTGGTGATGATGATGATGATGGTGGTGATGATGATGAGGGTGATGATGATGGTGGTGGTGATGATGGTGATGGTGATGATGGTGATGGTGATGATGATGGTGGTGGTGATGATGGTGTTGGTGATGATGATGAGGGTGATGATGATGGTGGTGGTGATGATGGTGGTGGTGATGATGATGAAGGTGATGATGATGGTGGTGATGATGATGATATTTCAAAACAATAGAAACAAGTGCTGTGCCAGGCTCCTGACATGAGGTGGCACCTCTGACCCTGGAGGCCTACTGGTTCCCCCACTTCCTCCTAGCCTGGTGTCAGGGGCCATATACAACCCTGAAAACCTGCTTGGCCCCATGGAGAAGGCAGAGGCAATGTTTTTGAGCCTGGAGTGAACCCCGTCCTCCAATTCGATCTGGAAAGGCTGCTCTGGGAGGGGTTGGCTGTCTCCCAGCTCACAGATGCTGAGAGGCCTCCCACTGAGATGCTAATGAGGAGGAAGCCCCAGACTGGCCTTGCTCAGGGCTTCTCAATGCACAAGGCACGGGGACCTCTCTGTCTGCTCCCTGCTCCCTGCTCCCTGTCTCTCTGGCGAGGCTGGGCCTGACTCCCCGCTGGAAGCCGCAGAATGTCCTTCATCAGCGTCTCTGCGGCCGCCTCCCCTCCACCTGCAGCCCATCTCTCCAGACCACTTGGCTGGTGCAGGCCACCTGCCGCTGGCTTGCTGGAGGGCATGTGTGTCTGGGCAGGGCTGGCGGGTAGACCGTCTTTCACCGGCCTGGGCCTGCAGGGCTGAGACACCAGCGTCCTCATCATGGCTCCCAGGGCCTGGACCAGCATTGCACATGTGCCCACTCAGCTGTCCGAGGGGCCCAGCTCTGCTGCGGCCCAGCGAGGGGACTGGCGGAGCCCCCACTTTGTCTGGGCCTCTGTCTATCCATCAGCAGGATGAAGGGGTCCCATCTGTGGCGGTGGGGGGGGGGCGGGTGGTGGGAATCTTACCCTTGCAGAGGCTTCAATGCCTCACATGTTTTTTTGCACATTATACATAAAGGAATGTTCATCCCACTTACAAAGAGACTAACTCCCTCCTTTTTTTTTCTCATGGCAAAGGGGTCCTTTGGGTCTGTTTTCCCCCACTTTTCACCAAAAAAGGGAGCAAAGAAGACCTGCTCACTTTCCTATTCAGCCTAGGAAACAACAGTGGGATGCAGTAGAGTGGCCCGGGCTCAGGGTGATGGTGGAGAAGGGGTCCTCCGGGGTGGGGGGCAGTGAGGAACCCCCACAAGGAGGCTTCCCTCACCCTTCCTCTGCGTGCAGAGGGCAAAGCAAGTGAGGTTTGCCAGCCTCTGACATTCAGGAGAGGCCCAAAATATGAATTTTGAAGGGAAATTTCCCAACTGTAAGTCTTGTTAACTAACTAAGATTTAAGTACTGTGAATGCCCACTGTGATCTGACCACAGGCTGGCAGGCCCCCAGCAGCTGCCCTCTGGCCCAGCGTGACCACCGAGGGCCTGCCCCGGGTGGTTTCTGATGAGCTCTCAGGGCGAGCAGGGTCCCTGATGCCCATTAGGGATGCCAGGCTGTCTCCAGGCCGTGAAGCACCTTTGTCTGGAGCTCCACACAGAGTGTGGTCTCTCCTCAAAGCCCCTGCTTTGATGCCTGGGGCTGCTGGAGGGCGATCAAATGCAGACATGTGGGGCCCCGGAAGCTCTGGCTGGCAGAGATTAGCCAGCAAGTGGGATGCTAGGGCCCCGCCCGAGGGCAGAGAGGGAGGACGGACAGGCCGAGGGCCTCCCTGGACCGCAGCTCAGCTGTCCGGCAGGTCCAGGAAGCATGCATTCACTCTGCAAATGCTCAGCTCCTGCAGGCTGGGAGGGGGCCCAGCGCCGAGGGCTGCAGACGCCTTCTCCCTGCCGGGAGGGGCCACGCCAGCCCCGGGAGGCCCCTTCTCTGGGAGAGGAGTGTGCTCACCTACAGGCGTCCCAGGGGAGGAAGAAACAGACTTGATAGCTTTGTCTAGTCTATTCTAAGACCTGCTGACTCAGCTGTAAGTCACAGGCCTGGGTCCTGCCCCTTTCCATTCTTCTGAAAACTGGAAGCTTTTCAGGCTGAAGAGAAGTGATTTCAGATTTGAAAGTAGCTAGAAATGATACATGTGCAGGTAATCATAAAAGGATATTCTTAATTTCTACAAAGCAAGAGTAGTAAAAATATATGCTGGGGTTTATAACATTTGTAGAAATTAAACGTATAAAAATAACCCAAAGAGCTGGAGGAGAAAAAGGGTCTCATCTGTTGGAGGGTCCTTATGTTGTATGTCAAGCGGTTTACTATTCACTGTGATAAGTTAAAAGGGCATAGTATCATCTCTGGAGAAACCTGCCAGAATATAAAACAAAGAGCTGGAGCTAAAAAGCCAATAGAGAAGACAAAATGGAGGACTGAAAATTATTTGATTAATCAAAAAGAAGGCAAGAAATGAAGCTCAATAGGACAATGAATATAAGTGAGAAATAGATAACAAATGCTAAGATGGTAGACTTATACACAATCGCATCAATAATTATAGTACACGTAAGTGAACTAAATACTCTGAATAAAAAGCAGAGATTTTCACACTGGATTAAAAAATACTACTCAATAATGTGCTGTTTACAAGAGACACAGATGCAGAAAGACTGAAAGAAAAGAATGAAAAAAATATGCCATACAGACAATAAGAACAAGCTAGCCAGTGCAGCTAGTGATTTATTTCAGATAAAGCAGACCTCAAGGTGGGCTTCCCAGGTGGCACTAATGGTAAAGAACCTGCCTGCCTATTTAGGAGACGTAGGAGATGTGGACTCAATCCCTGGGTGGGGAAGATCCCCTGGAGGAGGGCATGGCAACCCACTCCAGTGTTCTTGCCTGGAGAATCCCATGGACAGAGGAGCCTGGCGGGCTACGGTTGATAGGATTGCAAAAAATCAGACATGACTGAAGGATATTACTGGAGATAAAGAGGAACATTTCATAACTGTATTAGTAATCTATTGCTTTGTAACAACTTTAAACTTTGGCAGCTTAAAACGATAAGCTTCGATTCTCTCACGGCTTCTGTAAGTCAAGAATTGGGGAGTGACCTATCTAGGACCGTTCTGGCTCAGGGGCTGGTAATGATCAGGCATCTGTGTCATCTGAAGTCTTGACTGGGGTTGGAGGGTCCGCCTCCAAGGAGGCTCATTCACATTTATGCTCCATTCAAGTGATGAAAGGGAAAAATTCCCTGAAAAACAAGACTTCCTAAAACTGATGCAAGAAGGAAAAGAAAATCCTGGGAGCCCTGTATTTGTTAAAAGAAACTGAAATTGCATTTTGTACCCCTTCCACAAAAGATGGTTTCTCTGGTGAAATAGTACGGGTCTTACCCAAATTCTTACAGAGTAAAAGGGGATAACTGATGCTCCGAACCGACAAGGGCATTATGAGAAAAAAAGTCCAGAGGCCAGCATGTCCCGCAATGTAAATGCAAATGCCCTCATCAAATGTTTAGCAAATCAAACTCATCAATATGTAAAACGGATAATATAGTCTGGCCAAGTGGGGTTTACCTAGGGACTACGAGGTCAGCATTGGAAAAGGAATCAGTGTAGTTCACCAGAGTAACAGATTACAGGAGAAAAACCACGTGTGCCTATGTGCTTATTCTCCCAGTTGTGCCCGACCCTTTGCAAGCCCGTGAACTGCAGCCAGCCCGGCTCCTCTGTCTGTGGGATTTTTTTGAGGCAAGAATACTGGAGCGGGTTGCCATTTCCTCCTCCAAGGGATCTTCCCAACCCAGGGATTGAACCTGCATCTCCTGTATCTCCTGCATTGCAGGCAGATTCTTTGCCCACTGAGTCATCAGGGAAGCCCCCAAAGAGAAAAACCATAAGGTCATCTCAATACACGAAGAAAAAGATGCAGTAAGGTTCAATATCCATTCATGATTTAAAAAAAAAAAAACTTTTGGAAAATCAGGAGTAGATGGAAATTATATCAGTATGACAAAGGGTGTATACAAAATACCTATATTTAACATCATGTTTAGTGATGAGATAGTGAACTCTTTCCCTGTAAGATTGGGAATAAAGCAGGAATGCCATTTTTACCATTTCCATTCAACACTGAAGGGAGGTCTTAGCCAGTGCAATAAAAGAAGAAAAGGAAATAAAAGGAAAATGATCTCTATTTGCAAATGACATGATTGTGTTCATAGGAAACCCTAAGCAGACTTCAAAAAGATGACTAGAGGGGGTTCCCTGGTGGTCCCGGGGCTACGACTCCACAGTCCCAGTGCAGGGTGCCTGGGTTTCATTCCTGGTCAGGGGACCAGACCCTGGTCAGGGAATCAGACCCCACCGGCCACAGCTAAGGGTTTAAATGCCGAGATGCAGGATGAAGGTCCTGAGAGCTACAACTAAGAATGGACACAGCCAAATGAATAAACAAATAAACAAAAACTTAAAAAGACTTAGAACTAATTTAGAAAGTTGGCAGGAGAGTTAATCAATCATATAAAAAGTCAAGATGAAACAATTGGAAAATGAAATTAAAAGATAATTCTGCATAGCGTCAAAGCCTCAAATACCTAGAGATAAATTTCCCAAAACATGAGCAAGATACTTATGCCAAAAACTACAAAATTATGTGACAGACGTCAAAGACTGAATTAAATGAGGGAAGGCGGGGTTTAAAACATGCTTTCCTGGTGGCCCAGCAGTAAAGAGTTTGCCTGAAATGCAAGAGACTGCCTTCAGTGCAAGAGATGTGGGTTCAATCCTAGGGTCAGGAGGATCCCCTGGAGAAGGAAATAGCAACTCACTCAAGTATTCTTGCCTGGAGAAGCCCATGGGCAGAGGAGCCTGGGGCGGGGGGGCTGCAAGCCATGGGGTCACAAAGAGTGGGACATGACTTAGCAACTTAACATGCTTATTAATTGAAAAACTCCATAGTGTTAAGATGTCAGTTACCCATGATTTTTTTGGGCTGTGGCTTGTGCAGCAGAAGCAAGGCCCCTGACCAGGGATGGAAACTTTGACCTCCGAAGTGGAAGCACGGAGTCTTAACCACAGGACCACCAAGGAAGCCCCTCCATGAATGTTTATGGAATAATTGAATAGATTCAATGCCATCCCAGTCACATTTTCAGTAGATGTTTGAAGAAATTGTCAAGTTTTTTCTAAACCATATGGGGAAATGTAAATCTTGAAGAAGAAATGTAAAATCATAGGACTTAGAGCACCTGATTGCATGAATTATTTTTAATGCTGCTAATTAAGACAGTGGGATGCTGGTATAAGGAAAGACAGACCAACAGGGAACAGAGTCTGGAAGTAAAGCCTCCACGTACAATCAACTGATTTACAGTAAAGACGCCCATGTAACTCAGGGGAGAAGGGAAGCCTTTTCAGCAAATGTTATCAGAAAGGCTGGTTATCCACATGGAAAAAAAAAAGAAAACAAAAACCAGCTGAAACTTGACCTGTTTCACAGCATCCACGCTCACTCTGAGCGGAACCACAGGAAAGACCAGCCAGGGGAGAAGGTCACGGGGATGCCCTCGCCCGCTGTCCCCGGGCCGGCCGCTGTCTCATGGCTGGCGCACACCTGTCCCATCCCAGGATCCAGCACCTTTAGCTCCTCTGGGGGCCCCCTTCTTTGTTTCTCTCCTTCTCTGCTTGTGTCTGGGGGCCTTTCAGACTGCCCCCCACTGATGGCAGTCCCTTCCTGACACCGGCAGTCCCGGGATCAGCGCTGGCACCCCCTCCTCCTGGAAGCCGCCTCTGCTTTATGAGTGCGGGGAACATGTGACCCTCTTCCTTGCACCTGTAACACTAGGGGGCCAGATGGTTTGTCACCCACACCAGGACACGCACAACTAGAAAGGGGTGGACACGCTGATGGTTCTCAAGGTCAAATTGGGACACACGGGGCCTCTCTAAGCTTCTTCACATGCCGTCCTTGGATTGCATGGACGTGTCTATCACTTCTCCAGACGCTGAGCTCTTGCGGAAGCAGCCACACCTTGGCGTGACCCTCCCCCGAGCTCCTGCCCAGCCCTGGCCCTGAGCTGCCTCCGCTGATGTTTGCTGGCTCAAAGGGGAGAGTGTGGAGGAGAGCTGGTGATGGGCTGGGCGGCTCTGAGCACCTGGGTCCCTCGGGTCTCCCGTCTCCTGCTCAGGTGTCAGCTCAGTGGTCAGGCCTTGGCTGACCCGGAGGTTCCCAGAGCCAGCCTGGGCTGATTCCTCTGAGTGGCGCTCCATTTCAGTCATATCTTTGATTCACTGGATTTCACATTCGCGCCATCACCTGCTCACCCACCCACCAGTCAGCCCACCCCACGCTCCTCCCCACCGTTTAGTTCTCAGCCCAGGGAGACGGCCCCCACCCCGACCCCCTGGGAGCTCACTTTCCAGTGAGACACGAGGACACTGAGAAGCTCAAACACGAGCCCAGGAAATGCAGCACGAGGTGGGTGGGAGGCTGCTCTGGGCCAGGGAGACCCTCCGGGTGCTCAGCCGGGGCGGGCAGGCACCAGGGGAGCCGAGGGCAGGGCGCCCGCTGCCAGGAGGCTCCCAGTGTCACAGGACAGACAGACACAAGGACAGGCCCGGGGGCTGAGCGGGGTGCCAGCCGTCAGGGAGGGCTGGGGACACGCGGAGCTCGGCCCAGAGACGGAGTTGGAGGTGGGAGAGGCAATGCAGCTGACCTTGAAGGTCAGGAAGGTCACAGTCCGCCTTCTGCCAGCCTGGCCTCCTGCCTCCTTCCTTGGACTCCAGGTCGGAGACGTACTCTGCTTCTCCTTCTGCAGACGAGGCTCCCCGCAGTCAGGTGACTTGCTGGAGGTCACTCGGCTGGAGAGACGCCAGAGGGACGGGAGCCCAGTCCTGCTTTTGCAGGTCCCTCTAGGTGGCCGTCACTTCTCCGGGACTGGGGCCACGCTGGCTCCATAGGGCCCAGGCTGGCGTCCATTCGCCCAGCAGCAGGTTGCTGGACAGAGGTTCGGCCCTGCCCATCTGTCCAGACTGGGCTGCTCATCACACACCCCAGACACTGCCAGTTGCCCGGCTGCCCATCTGTCTCTGTCGGCGGCACGCAGATGGACGGCCCCGCAGCTATTTCCTGGGGCTGGGAGAGGTGGGGGCTGATGCTGGTGTCCCTCTGAGGCTGCCCCACCCTCATCGCATTTCCAGGAACTCTAGGAAGGAGTCCACACTCCTCCTTGGGTCCAGTGTGAAGTGGTCCCAAGAATGGACGGCCCCTCCCCATCTTACCCCCAACGCCAAGGCTGAGGTCGCTGGCCCTCCTTCCTGAGCCTGCTAGGCTGTCAGAGCCCTGGCCTCCCTTGGCTGGAATCATCCAGGCCTCAGGGCACAGTCTGGGGAGACCAGGTGGGGGGACCTGGGATGGCCAACCTGCAGAAGTGTCTCTGGGCTGGGAAAGGGTCCAGGTAAGTCTTCTTCCCTTTCCTTAGTGTTTTCCCAAGTCCCAAGGATGAGCAGCACATACCTTTTCTAGTGAAAAAAGGACAACTTTTTAAAAACAATTCTCCTGGTGTTGTAAAAGGCATTGTTGTAACAGGTTTCACATAGCAGGCATAGAACATCTTCATCTTTGGTAAAAATTGAAATTTCTGTGGGTCTCCATCAGAAAAATGAACGCAGCGGGAGGGTTCTATGCCTCACGTGCCTCCCTCTGAGTCCAAAAGTTTTGGTGATTTAGCTTTCCAAGATTTTCTGTAGGACTTGAAAGTCTTGACAATGACCCTGAAGTATCGTTTTAAAATATCATCAGAAACACACGAAAGGATCTCTACTTTGGAAGCTGCAAAGGAACGGCATCAGCTGTCTTCCTCCTTCCTCCCCTTCACCCTTCAGCATCACCATCCGTCCGTCCATCTAGCTGTCGGCCCACCATCGGTCTCCCTCCCCTTCTTCACTAGGGAAGCCCTGGGGGTGGGGTGGTGGCAGGGGAAGGGGGCGGTCCGCGGCAGGTGGGCAGGGATGGGCGGGGAGGGATGGGTGAGCAGAGGATTCCTGGAGGAGGGGAAGCTGAAGATGGGGGTGGGGGGCAAGGACGCCCTCCAGGCAGCAGGTGTCCAGGACCCCTGGGGGCTGGGAGGGTCCGGGGAGGGCCGAGGGGGCATCTGGCTCTGCAGTGACCCCCCCACTTGGCCCTCACACTTTGCGCACACTTGGTGGGGAAGCCGCGCCATCTGGTGGCCAATGGGAAGACTGCAGGGCAGGTCCTGCGAGGGGTCCCCTGGGGGGCTGGGCCTCAGTGAGGACAGCCCCCGATCCAGCCAGTGCCCAGGCTCCCATCCGCCCAGCCCCGCCATGTAGGCCTTGGGGGCCACCTCCCCTTCACTCCTGCCTCAGCTGGCGGCAGGGTGGGAGGGAGGTGGGAGTTGGGGTGCCGTCCTCGCCCCAGTCCTGGGGCTCCCCACTTCCTTGCTATGTCTCTGGCCTGGCCCTCGTCCCCTGCAGACCAGGCTGGGGGGGAGTCAAGACCGCGGCTCTCACCCAGCCCCCAGCCCTTGGATCCCCAGAGTGAGTGAGCCGGGGAATGACGTGGAGTCCTGGGGGGTCTGGCAAGGGATGGGGGATGGGGGGTGGGGGGCAGCCCCTACACACGGCCCATGGGCAGGGAGACCCCGCTAGCCCCCAGCTGGGCACCCTCCCCCAGGGAGTGCTGGAGGACCGCCCGCAGAGGCTTCCACCGGCCCGGCTGCCGGCCCACCATGAAGTAGATGAGGGGCCTGGCGCTGCAGTGGACGCAGGCCAGGAGGGTGGCCAGCGGGAAGAAGGTGGACAGCAGGAAGCTCGGGAGGTACGGGCGCAGGGTCCAGCAGAGGAGGTAGGGGAGGCCGCAGATGAGCAGCAGGAGCCCGGAGCCCAGCACGGCACCGTAGAACCGCGGGCGCTGGCGCTGGGAGCAGCACGCCACCCAGACAAAGAGGACCAGGCCAGCCGCGAAGGCCGCGCAGGCCAGGGCCAGCAGCCCGGCGACGCTGGCCGCGTGGTAGCGCAGGCAGGCCAGCGGGCGCGCGCTCTTGCGCAGCAGGCCGCAGGCGTCAGTGGTCAGCAGCACGGCCGGCGGGGCCAAGGCCCAGCTGAGGCCACAGACGACGCCCGATGTGTGTCTGGGGCGGCAGCCCTGGTAGCAGGTGGGGAAGAGGTCGGAGAGGCAGCGCTCGGCGCTGAAGGCCGCCAGCAGCCAGAGGCCCACGGAAAAGGCCACGAAGGTGACCGCGAAGTAGAGGCTGTGCTCGGAGCCCAGGGCCGCCTGCACGGCCGAGAAGACCAGCTGGCAGCCCAGGAACAGGAAGTCCGCGGCAGCCAGGTGGAGCACGTAGACGGCGAAGGGGCCCTTCTTGATGTGGAAGCCGAGGTGCCAGAGCACCAGCGCGTTGCCCAGCAGCCCCCCGAGGCCCACAGCCAGGGTGAGGTAGAAAACCACACTGCTGAAGGTCCCCCAGATCCCGAACATGCTGGCCGGCTGGGTGGCTGGCGGGCAGGACCCTGGAGGGGAGCGACAGACGTTGAGTCGGCAGCATAAGGAAAGGCAGGTGTATCCCGAGGCCGCTGGACAGCCCCTTCCAGGCCCGCGCCCAGCCCTGCAGGCCCCACGACCTCTTGGGAAAAGGAGGATTCCGTAAGACACGCTGCCCCTGACCCGGGGAGATGAGGGTGCTGACCAGGTGGGCGGTCCTGCCCCCAGCTGGGATGGTTGGACTAAATGCACAAAGAGCGATTGAGAAGGCCGTGTTGCAGAGGTCAACGTCGGCTGGACAGGACTGCAGGCAAAGGGGGCGCCCGTGCGGGCACGACCCAAGGACGTGGGGAGAGGCTGGACTGCGCTCCTGCTGGCTGCCAGCCCCAGAGGGCCAGCCGGGCGGAGACCAGCGGTAGCCATGAGCACACTCAGTCCTGCACTGGCCATGGAGGGTGGGCGGGGGTGCGGGGTGGGGAGCTGTGCTGTGGGGGCGGTGGGAGGCTGGGAGGATGAGAGAAGGCAGAGGACACCCCTAGCCTCCCCGGCTCTCTGGACCAGGCGGGAGTTCAGCCGGCTCCTCCTGCTGCAGGCGGCTTGGCCGCGTGCAGCTCCGCAGCCTCGGCAAGCCTGGGGAGCCGGTGAAGCCCCGGGCCCACGGGAGAGACCAGCACAAATGTCTGCTGCCAGCCCCTTGGGGCAGCAAGCGGCCGAGTCCTATCCCGGCCCCCGGGAAGAGACCCCGTCCTGGAACAGGGCAGGCAGACCCCGCTGGCGGGGTCTCAGAGGTGCCCTTCCCTCTGCCCCCTCCGCAGAGTCCACGCGGCCGTTGTTCTCAGCCTCGCAGCGGCTGCCAGGGCCCTAGGGTGAGGAGTCGGGGAGCCACGCGGGGAGAGACCCGCAGAGTGACAGAGACAGGAAGAGAGACACAGAGACCCCCAGAGACACGGTGGGGACGGACAGCCCGCCTCCCAGCCTCCGGGTCTTCCCCCAGGCTTCCCCGGGCAGGGCTGTGCCTCTGCCTGGACCATCCTCACCTCCCCCCACAGCCCGTTACCCAGGTCTACCTCCTTTAGGGCCCTGGAAACTTCCGCAGCCCCCTCGGGCCCTCCCAGCCTCCCGGCCTCCCAGGCTGGGGTCGTCGCCTGCCCCTTCTCTGTGGCTGTCCTTGCGCCCAGGAGCGGGGCTTAGCAGGGTGGCTCGGGGTCTCTCGCCTTGACCCCCTGCAGGATCTCTCTGAGAGGGGCACAGGCAGGCGGTGGTGGTGTCAGGGGACCCAGAGAGCCGAGCTGGACTCAGAGGTCACGGTGGGGGACTGTGCTGAGCCCCCCTCGGGGCCTCCGTCTCCCCGAGGCACCCCAGGGGCTGAGTCGGGTGGAGGGTGAGGGCCAGCGCTGGGGGCGGGGCTCTGACCCAGGCAGGAGGTGAGGAGGAGTGGAGGGGCTACCTGGACGGCTGTCCTGCCGGCTCTCAGTGGGAACACCTTCCCGGTACACGCAAACGAGGGCCCAGTGTCCTGGCTTGTGAATGACGCACCCACAGTCTGCTTCTCCATGCTCACCCCAGCACCCAGGCCCACGGGAGCCCAAAAGTCCTCAGGGGTGTCCAGCGCTGGGGTGGGGAGCAGGTGGGCTGGGTGTAGGGGCCCCCAAGGCTTCTCACCTGCTGACCGGGCGCCTCTCAGCTGCTCACCACCGCCCGGGGCTCCTGGGCCCTAAATCCTCCTGTGTCCCCAGGGCCAGACTGGCTGGACCCGGCCTCCCAGCCAGTTTCTTGGAAGTGGGAGGGGCCCTCCCTACCGTCCACAGGATGAGCTCAGACAGTGATGTCCTCGTGTGGGCCAGCCCTGCTCTTCCTCCTCAGCATATGAGGCGCGTGGACAGCCGGGAGTGGCATCCTGGGGCCCCCCCGTCCAGCGGGGGCCTGGACCTCACGTCTGGGGATGCTCCTCGGGCCGAGCTGGCTCCCCGGTTCCCTGGTGTGTGGGAGAGGGCTAGTGGGGCAGGAGCCTGGCCGTGTGGCCTGGGCGGAAGGACCCAACCCCTCCAGGCCGCAGCCTCCTTCCCCATGGCCTGACCATTCCCGGACAGCTCGTGCCCGGCCTCGGGCTGGACACCACTCTGGTCCCTGGGCAGCCCTGCTCTGGGTGGTCTGGGCCTGCAGCTGCTGGCCCCTTTTTCGAGGACCCATCCCGACTGTCCACTTGCCAGCCTCACCCCCGGGGGTCCCAGCTGCTCACTGACCCTTGGGGGTTAAAGCACTTGTCTGAGTTTCATGTCCCGAGCTGGTCCTGCCGAAGACTTGCCTTTTCCGTGGGCTGCTCTGTGGCCCTGGGGACTCGACGCGCAAGTCAGAAGTCCCGTGTAGAGATGCTGTGTGTCCTAACATTTTTCTTTCTTTTTTTAAAAAATAGTTTTGTAATGGGGTATAGTTGCTTTACAGCGGCTCAGACAGTGAAGGATCTGCCTGCAGTGTGGGAGACCCAGGTTCAATCCGTGGATTGGGAAGATCCCCTGGAGAAGGAAACGGCTACCCACTCTAGTATTCCTGCCTGGAGAAGCCCATGGACAGAGGAGCTACCGTCCATGGGGCCTCCCGTTCACGGGGCCGCAGAATCAAATGTGACTGAGTGGCTGACATGTTCTCTTTGTCACTTTACGGTGTTGTGTTAGTAGCGAATCAGCTGTATGTTTCCATGCATATCCCCTCTCCTTTTAAAAAACAACTGCATTTATTTATTTATGTTTGGCTGCCTGGGTCTTTGCTGCTGCGAGAACGTTGTCCCAGTCTCAGCGAGTGAGGGCTCCTCTCCGGTTGCGGAGCCTCCAGAGCAGGCGGGCTTCAGGAGCTGAGGTGCACGGGCTTAGCTGCTCTGCGGCGCGTGGGATCTTCCCCGACCGGGGGTCAGACCCGTGCCCTCTGCACTGGCAGGCGGATTCTTAGCCCCGGGACCCCCGGGGAAGTCCTGTCCCCTCTTTTTGTTCTTCCTTCCCATCCAGGTCGCCGCAGAGCAGTGAGCAGGGCCCCCTGTGCTGGAAGATAGGTTCTCGTTGGTTACCTGTTTTATACAGTGCGGATCCCGGCCTCCCAGTTCGTGCCCTAGTATTTCCCAGTCCGTGGGTTTGGCTCTGAAGCCGCTTCTGTAGCAGAGGCGCGGCCTGTGGAGCGAGGGTTCTGGCCTTGACTCCTGGCAGGGCTCTGGTCTCCAGCCCCCGCATTTCTGCACGTGGCTTTAAGGCATGAATTGCTGCGTGGCCTCCAGGCCTGGAGACCCAGGAGGCAGGGCCCGCCTCGCCCCGCCCAGGGCACCCCCGGGTCTCGGGATGCTCTCCCTGCCACTCCCCCTTTCCTCAGGTCGCCTCCTCTCACGAGCTGTCCCAGCCTTGGTACCCGAGCCCTCACCCGGCCGCCCTGTCCTCCCGCCCCCCGCCTCTTCTCTGCAGTGCTGACCCCTTGTCCCACCGCAGCCCCCGTGGTCTCTGCCCGCGGCGGCCAGGGGCGCCTGGCGCATACCCCGCTCTCAGGGCAGCCTCGGGAGGCGCATCCGCTCTCGGTGTGTTGGTGACAACGGCAGCAAACACCTGTGTGGGGCGTGTCCTGGGCCGGACGGGGCCCCTGGAGACACGACCTGTCGGTCCCTGGAACCAAACTGGGAAGAAGGGAGGGCTTTGAGATGAGGTCATTCCAGATCACCCAGGTGAACCCTGAACACAGTAAGTGTCCTTACAAGAGACAGGAGAGGAAAGACGCGTGGAGGAAGGGCCACGTGACCACGGAGCAGAGGCTGGAGGGCTGCGGCCACAAGCCCAGGGACGCCTGGAGCCCCCAGAGGCTGGAAGAGCAGGAAGGCCCTGCCCTGGAGCCCTGGGCCAGCTTGATTTCAGACTCTGCCTGCGGGCAGTGAGAGAAGATGCGTCTGTCGCCTTGAGCTGCCCCGTCTGGGGGCCTTGGCCCCGGCCACTCCTGCAACAAGGGTCACACGCTGTTTGCTCTCCATGGAGCAGCTCATTTCTGACACAAGTGCCTCTGAGATGCCACCGGCCCTACTTGCAGATGGGGAAACCGAGGCCCGGGCGCTGAGGAGAGCAGACCTCAGTGGGTGGGGAGGGATTCGAGCCAGCCCCCTCCACCGCTCTCCCTGAAGCACACAGCCGTGCTCAGAGCTGCGGGTGATTCCTGGGCCCCAGGAGGCCAGCGGCTTGTGCCGTCGCCCGAACACCAGGATGCTTGTTTGGACTTGTGCCTCCCGAGCCTGTTCACAGCTGGTGGCCTATGTCCAGGCCGGGCTGGGCCAGCAGGAGCCTCGACAACGCCAAGTGGCCGGTGTTCAGCCGCATCTGACCTGCGAAGTGGGCAGCTTCACGCAGTTCAGCCCAAACCCAGCCCCGTCCGTGTCCACATGCGCAGGCTGCGCCCTGGTTTGGTCACCTCTGGGGTGGCTTGTAGGGACCCAGTGAGGGGCACATGTTGGGAAGATCTGAGGAAGAGGGAGCCGGTGGGGGTCCAGGTGGGGGGACACAGGAGCCGTTCCTCTGTGTGGTTTCCCAGGCCACATCAACTTTAAAAAAAGATGCACCTCGGGAGAGCTGCGAGTCGAATTTTATTTGGGACGAAGTGAGGACTGCAGCCAGGGAGACAGTGCCTCAGAGAGCTCGGAGAGACTGCTCCAAAAGTGGGTGGGGTGGGGGGAGGACGGTATACACGTGATTTTGGTGAAGGGAGAGTGTGTGCCATCAAGCTCAGATTTTTGCAGAAGGTTTCTGCTAGTCATAGGAACAGGGCTTTTCTAGATATGAGGAGATCCAAGAACTGGGCCCATAAAATCAACTCCTGAAAATGTGTAAGTAACTGAACATGTGTCTTGGCAGGTTCCCCCCTGAGCACAGAGAGCCTCATTTTTGCTCTCCACCCCGGACTCCCTTCAGGGGGTGTGGAAGGTCAGCAACTGCACATGACTTAAGCCTAGCAAGGACTGATGGCCCGTGCCCACGGCAAGT